TTTACCACTGGTGGCTCTCCTGCCTGCCCTACAGGGGCCATTTCAGAACCAGCTGGGTCATAATCCATCTTCTCCACATTAGTATCTCTGATAATTGCCAATGTCCTTATCTCCAAGTTCCTTTCTTAGAGTTGGGATTCCCTCGTAGGCTTCTTGAGGCTCTGCCTTTTGTGACCTTGGCGACTCTACCTAGCCATGCCTCTCTATCTCTTGCAACTTGCTTCTCCTTTTAGTGGTGTCTACTTCTTTCCTCCCTAAAATGTGGGGTGCAGTTAGTAATGGTTGCTCTGCTTTTCTAATCTACTGCAGAGATATTACCTATAATATCTGCATTAAAAATCATACCATCTACAGTATCAAATTGAATGTCCAGCTTTCGTGTTCAATGGCTGGATGCCTTCCACCAGCTGACCCACTGTCACCACAAGCAAACCTGGTTATAGTTGAATTCTATCTATTCCCCCTGGTTCCTTGATTTTTCAAACTCAGGTCCTTTTTCTAGAGCGAGAGGAGTGCTATCAAGTATGGCTGAATAAGCTGCTACATTTAACCTTCACAATCAATAAGAAAATTGAGTTTCGGAGAAGCTGAATTAGTTTTGTAGGCTATAGATTATTAGTAAGGCAGATGTGGAGGTGAGATCCGGTCCAAGCAGTTTGACTGCACATCCAGTCTCCTAACCAGCCATGTTTTCTGCCTGTCTCATACACTAAAAATTCATGAGCCCTAAAAATTCATTATCCCTAAAGTGTATCACACTGAAAACGCATGGCCCTAAGTTTATTTGGCAGTTTTCTGGTTGGCAAAAACACTTAGTTCCTGGTGATTATGGTCTATTACCTGTAAGTACAAGGAAAGCAATGAGTTTCTCAGGAGGATGATGCCATACTGGGCTCAAGACAAAGTCTAAGCATTAGTCACTCTTATTCATGGTTTTTGCCATAATCATTAAGGACTGGGTCATCCTAGTCTCCTGGATATGCCTCTATATCCAGTTAACAGCTTTGAAGAAATTCTGAGGTTAAATTCGTTTAGGATACCTTAACTTTCTTGCCCTCTCATATCTCTGAATTAATTTTCCTGATTCAGATGCAACTGGACTTCAGGATGTTTCCCTTCAGACTAGTAGGCAGTAGAGAAAATCATGCTTTTATAGTCAAGACTATGGTTTGAAAACTAGCTTTACCACTTAGAACCTGCGTGGCCTTAACTTCTATGAGTCCCAGTCTCTTCATCTATAAATGGAGAGCAAGGCGACAAAACTTTTCAAGGTTACTGTGAAGATTTAATAAGAAATAACATATGAATATATAGCCCAATGCCTTGCACACTGGGTTTGCATTCAAACTCTGTAGTCCCTTATCCTTGGCTTTCTTTTCCCTTTGTTTCCTTCATTCTCTCCTCTCTGTGAAGCCACATTTCCTATAAGAACCTAAATACAAACTTTTCCCTTAAAAAATGGCTTCTTCAACATCCAGTAAATTTTAATATATAGTATTCAATTACATTTCATTTCTTAGCCAGGCTGGTCTTGAAAATATACTTTACAAAGACTATGTCACTGCTATCAACCACTTAGAATGAATACTGACTGTAAACAACCGGTACAGCTGTACCAGTGGGTGGAAGCGCGGGCCTGGGCTTATGAAGTTTTACATTTTTGTTTGTAGTTTTTTTCTCTGAGCCATAAGGCAAAGCTGAAATTTAGGTGGCATACGTTACTATGGCCACACTGGTTGTTTATGGCAGGCGTTCACTGTGATTTATTAGCACACTTGCCATAGAGGTTGTTAAATATTTTGAATATCATGTCTGCTCATTAGTCATTTAAAAGTATGTTTTGGGCCGGCCGAGTGGCACGATGGTTAAGAACTGGCTTGGGATGCCGGAGGGGTCCGGTTCGGATCCCACATGTGAGGGCCAGTGACACTGCCCTCTACAGCTAAGATGCTGAACAACAGCTCAACCTAGAGCTGGGTTGCCATGAGTCGCCGGCGATGGCGTAGGCTGCAGACCTTGTGGCAGTGGGTTGCCATGGGCTATCGTATGTAGCCAGCGGCCAGCAGCCAGCGTGAGCAGCCAGTGTGAGCGGCCAGCAGCCGCAGTGAGCGGCCGTCCAGAAGCCGGCAACTGATCTGCCTTGCCCGGGAAGAGCACAATGATGGTGCCAACTTGGGCCAGTGAAGCAACGTCCTCCACAGCTAGACTGAAGAACAAAACATCAACTTGTCTGTTCCCCTTCCCCCAATTCCGCAGCATGTTCCCATTCCCCCAATTCCCCAATAAAAATATTAAAAAAAAGTATGTTTTAATTATCTCAGGTTACAGAGTTTTTAAATTAATTACTTTTAACTTAATTGAAAGAATATGGACTGTTTAATGTAATTTCTCTGATATTTGCTGATTCTTGCTTTCAGCCTAATAAAATATCAATTTTTGTACGTATTCCATATGCACTTTAGAAGAATGTGTGTTCCATAATTGTTGGATTGTTAAACTTGTCAATTGTTTTGTTCAAATCAAAGACTTCCCACATCTTGACTGTGATTTTAGATATTTCTACATTTCTGGAACTAGGTTTTCTGTTCTTAGAGGTAGGGAAATGTTAGATCCTTGAAGAGTTATCATAAGGATCCAATAATATGATCTTAATAAATTATTTTGGAAACTAATTATACTCTTCTGAATTTTGCTTTTCATTCATTTATTACTTATGCATTAATTCAACAAATTTATAGAAATAGCATACTATGTGCCAGGCATAGAACTTAGGTGGGTGCCAGCTATGTATCAGTGAAAGATAAGAATCTTTCTCTCATGGTCCTAAGTTTGTCCCTTCTCCCACATATGTGTATTTCAGTGTCTGGTATAATTACTCAGTGTTTTCCTTTAATATGATCATATGATTATTATTGTTATGTCATTTTAGAGTATTCTAATTAACCTTCCATAATCTACATTTTAGATGCAAGAAAGTAAGTTCAGAAGAAAGATAAATGTCTTGCTCACAACTTCTCATCCTTAGTTAGGTATGAAAATGAGTCTAATCAAATCTATTGCTTATATTCTATGTGATTCACTATATTTCTCAAGCAGAGAATTGCATATTTTGTTGCTTTAAAAGATCCTGAAGACTGATAAAGACTTGACAGGACTATTCATTTACCAGAAGTAAAACCTGAGAGACAGATTCAAACCTCAGGGGAGTTAGCACTGGTAGCTACTGGTTCTGGTTTATAGAAGAGCTAAATGAAAAAAAAAAAAAAAGAAGAAAACTGAAACCAGTACTGGAAGGAGCTAAGGAGATGCCATTATCGTGTTGAAGGGCGATGACGTTGACAGGAACAAGAAGCAGACAGGGAGGTCCCTTATCTTCATCCAACCTTTCATTCACTCTCTAACAACTCTTTTGGAAGAATTTAACAGATGTGAGCTAGCAGAGAAGAAATGCGGTTTTCAGTGTACCAATCCTAACTCACAAAGCAGAGCATAGAAAATTGGATTTGAAACTGAGAGACAATACTTTCTAGCACCAAAATTACTCCATACAAATAAGGATGAAAATCTTGTGCCCACTCCAAGCTTTATAGCCTATTAAATTGCACCCAACACTGATAATAATAAAATAGCCAGTGTTTATTGGACATTTAGGATGTGTTAGGCACTTTTTAGTGCTATGCATGAATTAACTTATTTAATTGTATGAAGAAATAATAATTACATGTTAACAAGAAAATAAAATATTATGGACTTACTTTTACAATGTATAAATAGTTACAGTCTTTTACTTTGGACTTTTGTTCTGTATTTCAACTCTCATAGGCTCCTCAAAAGGCTAGATTGGACTCAACTCCTTTGATGGCAAGGGGGTTTCCATTCCTTATGTTGGCATTGCTCACAGGGCTGCCCTCTTCAGATAATAGGGATCATCTCAATTTTGAGCAATCCTTTTCTTGTCCCCCAATGCCTGAAACCCTGTAGCTCTTCAGTTCATTAAACAACTTGACTTTTTCTCTTTTGCCACTTGTAATCCTCATATTGCAGTTTTTTTTTTCGGTTATCAGTTCTGTCTAGTCTATGGTTAGGAGCTGTGTGATTCAATGCACAGTAGGAAAGAAGTCTTCATTACAACCTGGCCTCTTCTCAAAGTTCGAGAGGAATTCTCTGCTATCATGTCACCTCTATTATATTAGGTTAAAATATAAGGTATATTCTAGGGGATGCTTTTAGTTCTCAGTCTCATTATATACCAAATCCAGAAGAGTTATGGTAGCTTGTAAACAAATCCTGTTCTTCTATATTATAATACACATCACATTAAAAATAAAACGTAGTACTTTAACTATCAAGGGAGTTTATAGGACAAAATGCCAATATAGTTTGTTTAGATAATATTACATTGGACCAAATTTATTTTTGAACAACCTTTGTTACCTCAAATATGACAGATATGCATTTCTAGCTTTATATATGATGTGGTTCATTCGTTTATTAAAAACATGTATATTGAGCATCTATTATATGTCACATTTTATTCTAGTCTTTGGGATGTTATAGGCTAATAGACAGGTTCCTACCTATATGAGTGTTGAACACAAATAGCAAATAAATGAAAAAATTAAAAATGAATATATAATATGTTATGTGCTGATTAATAATCACTGAATAACTAATATGTACTTATTTTAGGTTACAAAGTACTTTTTAGAACAGCTTTAGCCTTTATTATTTTCGAAAAGTTTAAGAATGGTTATGTTTTGGTGGGTCTTCCTAAGAGATTTTCAACATTTTTCATTTCCATAATAGTATTTTTTAAAATCACAAGCATGTTTTATTTCTGCAGTTAGAACAAAAACTAATAGTAACAATCGCAAGTAAAATATTTCTACCATATGGTTTTGAATGACATGGTGAATTTGTTTTCACATGGTCATTTTCTATATTTGAGTTTTGTGCCTGCAGCAGCTTTGAATACTGAGTCACATGGTGTAACTCAGTATTCATAGTTCATCAGAGAAGATTTTCCTACCCAGCATGTTCTTCACAGCAGACTTTACATCCTTGTTGCGCAGACTATAAATGAGAGGGTTGAGCATTGGGGTCATCACCCCGTAAAAGAGGGAGATGAGGGTCTCAGTGATTTCTTGACCGTCTGTACCAACAGAGCTTTTAGACTTGGGCTCTGCATACATGAAGAGAATGGTTCCATAGAACATAATCACCACTGTCAGGTGGGCTGAGCAGGTGGAGAAGGCCTTACGTTTTCCTTCAGTGGAAGGGATCCTCAGAATAGTGGCCACAATAAAAATGTAAGAGACGGAAATTGCTAGCAATGGAATCGCCAGAGCAATCAGATTTGATGCTGCCATGCTGATCACATTGACTGAAATATCAGCACAGGACAGTTTTAAGATAGCCAGGATTTCACAGACGAAATTATCAATGACGTTAGCACAGAATGGTAATTGCATTGCCAAAGATGTCTGCACCGTTGAGTCCACAAGCCCAGAGACCCAGCATGCAGCTGCCATGGGCACGTAGGTACCTTTGCTCATAATGACAGGGTATCTCAGTGGGTAGCAGATGGCCACGTAGCGGTCGAGTGCCATCATGCCTACAAGCACACACTCTGTGACCCCCATGGCAAAGGAGAGAAACATTTGCACCATGCACCCAGAAAAGGAAACCCTATTCCTTACTGTCAGAAAACTGTCAAGAATTAGTGGGACAGAGGAGCTTGTGTAGCAAATGTCCAGGAAGGAAAGGTTACAGAGGAAGAAATACATGGGAGTGTGCAAGTGAGGATCATAGATAATGACCGAGATAAGGACTCCATTTCCCAGCAGGATCATCAGGTACATCCACAAAACCAGCACAAAGAAAACTGTCTGGAGCTTGGGGTGGGCAGAAAGTCTAACTAGGACAAATTCCGTCACTATGGAATCATTGGTCCTTTCCATATTCCATATACCCTTTCTTGGGCAACACTCTGTGGATGATAGAACAGACAGTTGTTAATACGGTATCTGTAAGAGCTCCCCTTTTAAGAATCAGCTTCAATGTTACTGTAGTTATGGATTTAAATGCAACAATATAACTCCGGGACAAATTTCTTACTGTAAACCTAGGCCACTAGAGCAGGAATCCTAAACTGGTTTTCTTAGGGTTAAGAGAGAACACATTTGATTATAGCATGTTTGGATCCCAAACCAGTTTATTGTCATTTCTACTACTTCTGCCTCTTAATTCCTTGACTGCAAAATCACTGGCCTACAGCCTCGATGCAGTAGACAGATGTGTTTTCTGGGCAGTGATTCCTGCACTGTGTTTTAAATTTTAATTAGACATCAACATTGTAAAGGCAGGGGATATGACATAAAATTTAAACTAGAGGTCAACTATATTTTTAGCTTATCTTTAAATAAATTATAATATTTAAAAATATTGGGCCTATTTCCATCATTGAGCTCAGTTACAAGTAACCCACTGGATTCCAAGCATGTTCTCCATTCTAACAGAATACCCTCCTCTCTCTCTTATCTGCTTGTCACTGGAGATGAATATTCGTTGCCAAATAATATGTTATTCTCAGTTGATCTCAATTGTTTATATTATCTGACAGAATTGTATATGTATTGGAATTCTTGACTCATAGCTGCAAGGCTGAATTAGTCACTAAACATGGTAGGACTACCATACTATTAGGAAACTATGAAAATGTTTTGATTTCTTTTAAAATCTGCATAGAACAATGAATGTTTAAGTTTTAATACATATTAAATTTATCTTTATATCAATGCAGATATAAAATATAACTTTTAATATTATTTCATGGAAGGGCCAATAAAGACAAAACTGTCTAAGGCCCCTGATAATAATGCAGTCCTGTATGATTGAGCTTTGGGTAGGCAGAAAGTCTAACCAGAAGAGCTGGTGGTATACCCGGGTAAGTGGTCATTACACATATGCATATAGCCTCATTGAGGACAGTAGCCTCATTGAATGGACACATTTATATTACTCCAGTATGTACCTCAATTGAATGAGGAGGTACATGTTCAAGTAAATGTGGTTTTTTTAGTAGAAATAAGTTAAAAGTATTTATAAAGTCAATTTTACTATGAAGAGAGACATGTAATATTGTGTATTACAGGCCCTACTTGCCTTGTTTAGTTTCACCACATGCAAGAACTGTCACTTAGGGATCAACTGTAAATAACAGTGCTTTTATTAAAAATAAAAATACATTTACATAATACAAATACATAAATATACATTTAATTGAACCAGTGACACGCAACCATTATTTTTTTTTAGCAAATGAAATTTATACAGAAGTGTAGTATATAAAACAAGCAAAAAGAGAATGTCTCTGGTTGAAGTTAAATGGGTTTGCACAGAAGGAAAAGCATTATCCTTTAATACCTTACTCACTCTTCCTCCTTCAATTTGGTTTAAGGATTCCAAGGGGCATAGTTTAAAACCACCAATGCGGTAAGTAGAAAGTAATATTATTGGGTTGTCAAAAAGTCATGACGTATTTTTTCTATGTTTTTCATTGCAAAAATGCATCAGGACTTTTCCAACAACCCAATAATGTTCTGCATTTTAATAATTTTCTTATCAAATAAAACAATATATCTGTTGATTATGCCAGATACATTTCTAAATGCTTTTAGTCATAAAAATCCAAGGAAGTAAGAACTATTATTGTATGCATATGGATTATTCTTATTATTATCCTTAAACATTTGGTAAACACCACCAGAAAATCATGATATGATGAAAGAAAATAAAAAGTAATTATTTCAAGAGCTACAGGAAATAAATTTGGTTAAAGTCAATTTATGATTGTCATATAAAGTATTTGAAGTTCACAAAAAGTAACTTCCTAATTGCGAAAGGAAACTATATATCAAATGCCTATAGGATGTTATTACCCACTAATAATTAATAGAGCCAGTTTATACTTTCTCATTAAGATCTGGAATAATAAGGATGCCAACTCTTACAGCTGCGATTTAACATAGGCTTGGTAGTCCTGTTCAAAATCATAAGACAAGAATATGGCAGAAATAGAAATNTTGTATATATGTACCACATCTTCTTTATCCAATCATCTATCGAAGGATAGTTTTGTTGTTTCCATGTCTTGGCCATTGTGAATAAAGCTGCAATGAACATAGGGGTACATGTATCTTTATGGATAAATGTTTTCAGATGTTTGGGGTAGATACCCAGAGGAGGGATTGCTGGGTCGTATAGTAGTTCTATTCTTAACTTTTTGAGGAACATCTATACTGCTTTCCTGGTGGCTGAATCAATTTACATTCCCATCAACAGTATGTAAGAGTTCCATTATCTCCACATCCTAACACGTATCTCTCTTTTTGTTGATGGCCATTCAATAGGTGTGAGGTGCTATCTCATTGTGGTTTTGATTTACATCTAATGATTAGTGATGTTGAGCATCTTTTCATGTACTATTGGCCATTTGTATGGCTTCTTTGGGAAAATATCTATTCAGTTCCTTTTCTCATTTTTAAATCAGATTTTTTTTGTTGTTATGGAGTTGTATGACTTCTTTATATATTTTAAATATCATCCTCTTATCTAATATATAGTTTGCATATATTTTGTCCCATTCCACAGGTTACCTTTTCATTTTGTTGATTATTTCTTCTGCTATGCAGAAGCTTTTTAGTTTGATGTAATCTTACCTGTTGATTTTTGCTTTTATTGCTTGTGCTTTTGGTGTCATATCTAAAAAATAGTTACCAAGTCCAATGTCAGGGAACTTTTCTCCTGTGTTTGCTTCTAGAAGTTTTATAATTTTGTTGATCTTTTCTATTGTTTTTCTAGTCTCTATTATATGGATTTTCACTTTGATTTTTGGTTATTTCTTTCCAACTGCTAACTTTGGGCTTAGTTTATTCTTCTTTTTCTAGATCCTGGAGGTGTAAAGTTGGGTTATTTGAGATCTGTCTTTTTTTCTTAATATATATGCATTTTTTGTTGTAAAATTATCTCTAAGAACTTTTTTTTTTATTTTTAGCATCCCATAGATTTGGTTATGCTGTATTTCTATTTTCATTTGTTTCAAGATATATGTTTTATTTCTCTTTTGATTTTTTTTCTTTGACTCTTTGGTTGTTCACGAGTATGTTGTTTAGTTTCCACATCTTTGTAAATTATCCAGTTTTCCTCTTGTTGTTGGCCTCTAGTTTTATACAGCTGTGGTTAGCAAAGATACTTGGCATGACTTTGGTTCTCTGAAATGGCCTATTATATGCTCTAACCTGGAGAATGTTCTGTATGCACTTGAGAAGAATGTGTATCCTGCTTTTCTTGGATGGAATGTTCTAAACGCATATGTCAATCCATTTGGTTGAAAGCATGATTCAAGTAAAATATTTCATTGTTGATTTTCTGTCTGAGTGATTTATCCATTGCTGGAAGTGGGGTATTAAAGTCCCCTAGTATTATTGTGTTATTGTCTATTTCTCCTTTCAGATCTGTTAGTATTTACATAACATATTAGGTATTCTGATGTTGGATGCATAACTCCTTTATCACTATATAATGATCTTCTTTGTCTCCCATGACAGTTTTTGCTTTAAGGTCTATTTTGTTTGATGTAAGTATAGCTACCTTACATTTTCATGCAATATCTTTTTCCATCCCTTCACTTTCAGCATATGTTCGTTTTTGAAGCTAAAGTGAGCTTCTTGAAGGCAGCATATAGTTGTTGTTTTTTTAAAAATCCATCCAGCCACCTGTACCTTCTAATTGGAGAATTCAGTCCAGTTACACTTAGAATACTTATTGATATGTAAAGATATACTGATCTTATTAATTGCTTTATGGATGTTTTGGAGTTCCACTGTTCCATTTTTCTCCTTTGCTGCCCACCTGTGTGGATTGGTGATTTTACATGATGGTATGCCCAGATTTCATTCTGTTTATGTTTTGTGAATCTACTTCTGCTTTATGATGCTGTATGGCTTACATCAAACATCATATATAACATATTTATAAAATAGTCTGTTTTATGCTGATATCAATTGAACTTTGATAGCATACAAAAACTCTACCCTTTTACTCCCTCCTTTTTNTCTGAGCCTGAGGAATGGTTTCCTGTTCTTGATTTGAGACCAGTCTTCTTCTTCGACAGCTGCTTTGCTCTACAGCTTCAAGAAATGCTCTCTATTTTATGCAATAATTTGCAGTATAAAATGAGGGGACATTAGTGAGATTTAGATAGCAAGCAGGGCGCTGTAATTGTTTTCTTCAAGTTTTGACTCACCAGTACTTTATTCCTTGGGTAAAACAGATAGATGATTCTGTAAATATTCTCTTAGGCCCAGAGCTTCTAGTTCAGTCTCAGGAAAAAAAAGTAAGATGACCCATAGATTCTTGGGGCATTTGTGGTTATCTAAGTGTTTCTCTACATTTTCAGCTCTGGAAACATCCTCCAAAAGACCAGCCATTAGCATAGCAAAACAATTTAAATTCTTCTGGGGGCAAGCCAGGGAGGGGTGCAATATTTGCAACAAACTAAAGTTAGGACGGTAAACATGGGGGATTACAACTTTTCCAAAACTCCAGGGAGAAAGTAGCTGGATCCAATTATATCACATAATTGGGTATATTCTTGTTATGATGTGACTCAAATAAACGTATATCACCATCTACATTACCACAATATCTGAGGATTTTAAGACTCAAATGAACAGAAAAAGTCTTTAATAAGTATTGTTTTTTTCTTTTCTGAAAATATCTGAAAAGTTCCCATGATAAATAGCATAAATTGCCTTCATTTGCACAGCATTTTCAAATATCTAACGTTCTCAAATTACTACTAGCAGTTAGTACTAGTTTCCTGTTCTACAGATGGAGAACCTGAGACTCTGAACGGTTGTCCAGCCAGTATAAGAGGGGGTGACAAAGATCTCAAATC